AAACAGCTGCATAATTGTTTGTCCAAACCAGGTTGGAAGCTTGGGAGCCTGAAAATGCCAATCTGCCCCTTGCTGTGTTTCAAGATGAAAATGGCTGTTCATAGGCTGTCTCAATCCAGAAATAGGGTAGTGCTTGGGGACATACTGGCTTCAAATTTTGACATTCTTGGGACAATGTCTAGGCTCTGCCACCTTCCAGCTGCGTGGCCGTAAGCATATTGCTAGATTCTCTGAGTCTGTTTGCCCTACTGTAGAATACTGACCACACACCCAGATCTCAGCACTAAGTGAGATAATGCATGGATTTAGCAGAGTGCTGGCACATAGTAAGTGCTTAATAAATGGCAGCTGCCATCTTCTTGTCACCATCATCTTACCAATGCACTCACAGTCACTCACAGTCCTGTTGGTAGAGCCCCTTCCACCATGCACATGAAATTTAACATTACACAAAATGACACAAGTTCAGTGAGAAGGGGTTTCTTATGCTGAGTTAAATGTAACACCGGGATCTTAATAGGCACCAGGTACTGTTCTAGCTCATGTAATATTAAAACACCTCTGTGAACTTAGTGTTAATGAATGACTAACTAATCAACATCCGTTATCTCATTAATTATTAATCAGCATTGTTGAAAAGATAATAATGATGAATAATTAATGCAAAAGAAGAACATGAAGCCCAGAGATGTTAAGTCACCATCCTAAGGTGATGGAGCTGGTGAGCCGCAGATGGGACGTGAGCCTGGGTGGTCCAGCTCTCAGGCCCTGCATTATGCCCTGTGCTGCCCAGGAAAGCCAGAAGTGCCTCTCCACCGTCACTGTGGTGTCTGTGCTGTCCCTGCAAGCACCTGTCAGGGAGAGCTTGGAAAGTTTCAGAAGGTGGAGGAGACCAGTGTGGACGATGGGGGGAGGGACAGGCAGTGAGCTCCATACTTCAAGGGTGCAGCATCTGTGCTGGGTGGCCCATTCCAGGGGTAGGGACACAGCAGGGGACAGGTGCCCACGCCCATTCTAGGGGGAGAAGCAGACCACAGGCAAGTAGAGTATGCAGGATGTCAGGTGCTGGTAAGTGCTCTGGAGCAGGATAAAGCCATTTGGAGAATACGGAGTGCTCAGGATGGGGACAGGTGAAAGGCAGCCAGTGAAACAGGAAGCTTCAAGAGAAGGTGATACTTGGGTAAAAACTGGCAGTGAGAGAACAATCTCTTCCAGTGGCTGGAGCAGAGTGTGCCTGGCAGAGGGAACAGCACATGCAAAGGTCCTGAGGGAGAAGTTTGCCTTGAACAGCAAGAAAGCCAGTGCATCGAGAGCAAAGTGTGAGAGGCAGAGAGCGGTGGGAGAGATGGGACAGAGGAGGCAAGAGGCAGGACCCCTGGGCTGTCAGCTTCCAGAGATGGCCTGGGGTGGGCATTAGCCATGCTGGCCAAGAAGACCTAAGAGGGAGCCAAATGGCATACTCTGGAGAGACACTCCTCCCTAAAGGGATGGAGAGGAAGGTCCTCCTCCTCCACAATCCTTTCTTCCCCTGGAACATTGTCCACGCTGCTAAACAAGTGTTTGGGGAATGTTCTGGAGCTCACTGTAGCCCTCACACCCTCATGGCCCCGTTCATGGCATGGCTTAGTGATGCTTCCAGGTGAAAACTGGACGCATCCCAGCACCATGCTGTTCCCACTGCCGGGAAGACTCTCCCTGACACAGCCATATGGAAGACTGTCACCTGCTTTGGGTCTCTGCTCATGCACTGTCTTCCTGGTGGGGCCTTTCCAGGCCACTTCATCCAACACTGCAAGCCTCTGCCATGACTGAAGCTTGTGCCCCATCCTATCCTGCATTTTTCCCCATAACACTCAGGACCACCTAACACACTACATATTCTCTAATGTCTTGATTATATTTGGATATGGTCTGCCTCCCCCTCTAGAATGTTAGCTCCAAGAGATCTGGTTTTGTGTGCTTTGTTTTCACTTTCTTTGTTGTTATTGCCTTCAGAACCTAGCATGGTAACTGGCACAGCACACGTGCTTGTAGGTATCTGCTGAATGAATGAGAAGTGGGTGAGTGAATGTGTGTTGTAGATTAACTTGACATCTCATCATTGTGTTAGGTTGAATCTAGTATGAGGCTAAATGAAATAGCCATTCTTGAAAGTCAAACATGGTTGAATACCAATGTGAGAGGTTCAGCCTAACACTCATGATTAGGATCTGGCATTTTCTTGTTCATTTGCAAAGCCCTTATGATCATCTCCCACCACTGAAATGCTCATTCATGAAGGCAGACTTTTGCTGCTCCATATCCCCAGCTTCTCGGCACATAGTAGGTCCTTAATAAATATTGGCTGAATGAATAGAAATACAGAGTTTAAAAATGAATGAATACACAGAATAGAAATATTCCCCTCTAGAACCAGAAGCTCCACACGAGTGGTCCTTGCTACCCTTTGAGCAATCCCATGAAAGTCAGCAGAGAACAAGCAGCATTCATGAGCTCTGGGCCCTTAAAAAGGATCCTCATACCAGAGAAAAGGCAGCCATGTGCTCTGAGTCAGTGAACCAGCGTGTGGGGAGGAATTCCCAAAGTTTCTCCAGGCTCAGAGAATTCCTGTCATATCTGGGAGTTCTGTTGGTTTGCTTGTCTTAGTGACTGTCCCCCTGCTCCTGCAAATGCCTTGTGATCTGGGATGCCGTTTGTGAAGTCACAGTGACTTCGTGTGGTTGGATGGAAAGTTGAGCCTGTCATAGGGAGATAGAAACTGCTACACCCAAATTGGTCATCACAGCTGGGCAGGACCAGAAGAACCATGTGCCAAGGCTGGATCTTAGGGCACCACACAGCAGATCACCCGCTCTCCTGCCCCAGAGGGTCAGGACTGGTCAGGCTCAGACAGGAGTAGATGTGGGTGGATGGATGTGTAGTATTGCCTGGTCTATCTTGACCTGTCCTGCCCCAATGTGAATAGGTTAAAATAATGGACTGAAATGTTTGTGTTCTGGGGGGTTTTGTTTATATTTTGGGGGGCTCTATTTTCCCAGGGCCCTGGGTTGTGAGAGTTTCCATAGCAATGGCAAAACCACCATTTGTCTGCCAAGGTACAGGATAATTACAGCTTCTGAGTTAACCGGGAGTCTCTCCGGGAGACAGTAGAGGGGACACTGAGGTCGTTCAGCTTAAAATGGGAAGAAGGATCCAGCATGGGATGTCGCCCTGCCTGAAACATGGGATGGAAGGAAGATTTCACATTTTAAATTCAGACAAACCAAATCATGCACCAACTGCAGCATTCTGCAAAATGAAAAATGGAGACCTTCCCCATCTTCAGTGAAAATGGTTCAGCTCTAAGATATTTCCCAGAAGAAAGTAGCTTTCAGTGGCAGTAGGTGGGGTGGACTTTGGGAAAATGGTAAGAAGAATATAATTTGTGTCTCAGCCTCCACCCTATGTCCCCATGACCATCCCAGCCCGGGACCCCCAGCACCTGCTTCTTCACGGTCTTCCTTGCTTGAGGGTGAGTTGGCAATGGCATCAAGAAATGATGTCAGTGACCTTCTCATGGATGTGTGCATCTTTCCTCATGACTGCAAAGGCTAAGACTCCAAAACTAACTAAAAATAATTAAAAGACTAAAAGTTAATAAAGTAGAAAAATAATAAATAAAAAATGAACCAGTTCAAGCCAAGGAGAAGGTATGTTGGGTCCCCCATCCTCCTGTCATGCCCAGGTGCCTCCTTGCTCCATAACATGGGGTATCCATGTTCCCCTCAGCTGGCAGGTGACACCAGGAGGGGCAGGTCCTGAGGATAATGGTGACAGGAGGGTATGTGCTATCCAAAGGCAGCAGTTCTGACTTGCTTCCATCAGTCATATCCAGCGTATCAGTCATATCCTGGCATACGTGGCTAGCTCTTCCCATTTTTAAAGGAATCTGGACTTCTATTTAAAAGATCCAAATTTTAACATGTTGGCAACAAAGTCACCTTTTACGTACATTTCATAATATAAAAATATTTAAAAGGAAATGAAAATTACATTCAAACATTTTGCACCTGGTTGCCTACGCTCTTTGGAATGTCTAGAGGGCAGGGTGCCATGAAATGGTTCCCATGATGGGTGACCCTGGATGGGAGAGAACCCATCAGAAGTGGGGGAGAGAGCAGCCACTGCTTGAGAGTCCACAGGGAAGAGTCAAGCCCTGGGCCACAGGGATTTCAACTCTACCCTCCCAAGGAGGACACACAGGTTGTCACGAGGAGAGGACGGAGCCAAGAGCATAGCTCTTTCTCTCAGTCCCTTCAATCTCCAGAAAGTAGGCCTGGCTGATCAGGTCCTCCTGAGGACCTTCCCAGATGGGTAAATGAAGGACTCGTAGGGGCTCAGCACCCCGGCTCATCAGGGTGACCCTGAGATCTGGAGGCTCCATTGAGCTGTGGACTCTGGGTTTGAATCCCAGATGACCATCCTCTTACAAGCTGTGGGCAAGGACTTTTCTGTACCTCAGTTCCCCCTTCTGTAGAATGGGGCTAGTTACAGTCCCTACCTCATATCATTATTATGGGGATTATATGACTTTAATGTGGGTAAAAATCCTGGAACAGTGTGGGTACAGGTACGTAGGAAAAGATCAATAAATCTTGGCTATTTATTTGCAAAGCACTGAGGTGGAAATGAAGAGAAGAGAGAGATCATTTTTTCAAAACAAGGAAAATGAGGGAATTACCTTTGCATGAGTACCTCAGGTTCTGCTCAAATGCTCACTGCATTTAAAATATAGCAAGTAAAAACAGGAGGCGGAAGCCTTGTTAGTATCAGGGTTTTCCCTCACTGTGATCTGCCACCCTCTGGAAAACCCCAGGGAAGCAGAGGTGGGTGCCCCACATGGCACTGAGATGCTCCTGGGGAGTGGCTGGGCTGAGGCAGAGCAGAGCTGGCGATGCATGACACCGTGCAGTGGTGGGGGCCGGCTCCTGAGCTCACCAGACCTCCCCCTGTCCCCACAGCACATGCGAGAGGCCGCGGAACGGCGGCAGCAGCTGGAATTGGAGCATGAGCAAGCCCTGGCTGTTCTCAACGCCAAGCAGCAGGAAATCGACCTTCTGCAGAAGGTAAGCCCAGGGGGCACTGGGCACCTGTGCACGTGGGAGGGGGCACAAGGGATGGGGTGGGGTGCACGGTGGGCTGGAGGACCCTGTGAGGGTCGTCTGTGCTGTGGCGGGAGTGACTGCTCACCCACAGCCTTGGGTCATGGGCTGGGGAGTGTCTCTCTTTTCTTGCACAGAAAGATTCAGTCGTTTTTCTTTCCTGCGTACTGTGGTTTTTCTTTAGTGGACCTGTATTCACAGTCTATAATGCAAAAACAAATGAAAAGCTCAAACATCTGATTCTGGTGAGACTGTAAGGAAAAGGACACTCTTACAGATTTCTGGCAGGGATGTGAGCTGTTCAGCTCTTGGGGAAAGCAACTGAAGCATCAATTCAAACTAAAAATGCACCTAGAATTTGACTCTGCCACCCCCATCCTGGGAATACACCCTGCAAGAAACGCAGGAACCAATTCAAAAGTGTTTTTTGTTGTTGTTGTTGTATTTTGGCTTTTTGCAGTGCTGTTGTGTGGGGTATGTGGTGGAGAACTGGAGTAAATTGAATACTCAGCACGGGCAATGGTCATATACATTGTGATCCATTCATACCGTGGACCACTATGATGTCATTAAAAGGAATAGTTTTGGTTTATATCTGCTATCTTGAGGCTATTTACATGATGTTATGAAGTGAGCAGATCAAGTCACAGGTCAGTATTTATAGCATGATCCCACGAACATAGGAAAAGAGAGAGAGGGAGGAGATAAAGAAAGAAAAGAGAAAGGGAGAGAAATAGAGAAAAGAGGAGAGAAAGGAGAGTCAACAGGGAAGGAGGGAAAGAAGGGACTGAGTGACTCAGGATTGTCCCTTCTCAGCACCTGGGATGGTGATGGGGGGACTGAGAAAGTTAACTCCCCCCCCACTTCAGTCATCAGCCATGGTCCTACTGTCTCTCACCAAATGCATAGGAAGAAAGACCCCTCTCTCAGAGCCAAGGGGCTAGGGGTGTCCCCTGTGAGAAGCTAGAACCCGGACCCCTGTGAACACTTCTCACCTTGTTTCTTTCTCGATGTCCAGTGTCCCCCACCCACCCCCACCTGCTGCTCCTCCTTGCAGTGTATATCTAACTGGGGCAGACAGAGGAATGGGAGCAGATGGGCTGGCTTCCAGTTGGCCCAAGGCTGGGCCGCTGGGGATGGTGGCCGGGCTGCAGCCCCCTGGCCCAGCGCAGGCTGGAATGGGCAGCAGGCAGCGCTTCTGCCATGCATGTAGCCCTTCCACCCATCTGACAGCCTCTCTAGGTCCTGGATCTGAAAATAAAGGACACACGATCAGTTACCCAACCTGGCTGGTGATAGGAATCTGTCGGAGTTGTTTTTCTCCTCCAGTTTATTAGCAGAGCTTGTCACAACAGGTGGACAGCTTCTGATGCCATTTCTCTAATCATTTATCAAGACCTCATACTAAGGATAGATTTCATTAAGCCAGCACTGATGGGGACCGTCAAAGCCCTTATCAACTGTCATAATAAGTTGATTGGCAACCGACAAGTAATATTTCACTAGATGTTATCCAGAAAGGATATTACTGGGACACCGGCAGAAATATTACTCTTTTCTTCTCCTGCTGTGCCTAAAGGACCTTTCCCATGCCAGGAGACGCCTGGATGGTACCTGCCTTCATTCACTGCAACTCCAAAGGCCATGTCCCTAGGCAGGGTCTGTCTGAGACAGATAATACGCTGCAGAAACACAAATATTGTCCAGTAAGGTGACAGGATGTTTTTTCCCAACAGAGCATTCTCGAGAGCTTAGAGTTATATTTACTAAGCTTTTGATGCCAAGAAGAATAAACTGTAACCAACTCTGTTATTCAGCTTCCATGATCTCTTTTGTGTATTTTTCAGTTTCCTTTGCTCCCCACCCCCACCCCACATCCATCGTTGTCTTTATTTTGGACACGCGGATGCTTCATTGTTGGGGGTGGAGGTGGGAGCAGAGGAAGAGAAACGAGCATTCTCGAGAGCTTAGAGTTATATTTACTAAGCTTTTGATGCCAAGAAGAATAAACTGGAACCAACTCTGTTATTCAGCTCCCATGATCTCTTTTGTGTATTTTTCAGTTTCCTTTGCTCCCCACCCCCAGCCCACATCCATCGTTGTCTTTATTTTGGACACGCGGATGCTTCATTGTTGGGGGTGGAGGTGGGAGCAGAGGAAGAGAAAGTAGATGAAATACGAACATGCTAATTTTGCCATTTCTTAGAAACTCTGATTTTTTAAAAAAGCATCAGAAGAGGAAGGTGGAATTTTGAGTGGATTGAGGTTGGTGACTCCTTCCCAGAGCTCGTGTTTCCATTTGATTTCCACCGTGGACGGTCCTCGTGTTGCTCTTGCTGACCTGGTCAGTCGTTCATGCTCCAGATGTCCATAGTTGGTGTCAGCCTCTCAGAAGTTGTTCTAGAACACAGGGGCACAGCAGCGAGTAAGATGGGGCCTCTGTCCTTGGACTAAAAGCACATGAACAAGCAAATGAAGAACTGAGTCAGTCCAGACAAGGACAAGAGCCCCAATTCTCTTACCCAGCCTCACTTAACATCGCTGCATGGGTGACCTGACATGTCATGTCCCAGTTGACCTCCCTCTGTCCTTCCCAACACCTGCTCTTCCAGCTCTCTTCCCCAGGCTCCATAAATGGCAGCATTTCCTTTTCTGCAGAACGTTTTCTCTTCCCTGGAGTTAATTGCTTCTTGTGTGTCTGCCTAGCTTTCTGTGTACCCAGCACTCTTTTGTTCCCAGACTCCCTGCTGGAGCTGTAAAATTCCTCCCAAGAAGCCCTCAGTTTTTGAAGAAGCTTCTTACTCTGTTCTTCCTCTTGGGGACTCCTGCCTGGAGTCCCGGCCCCTTTCTCCAGGCTGGTGGCTCCTGAGGCTGAGGCAGAGTCAGGGCCCTGGGAATACCCTTCATCAACATCTTGGGAATCCCTTTATGCTTCCCTGTACTTGGCTTGATCCTTTGCTTCCTGGATCCCATGATATCCTATTCCTTGACACACAGCATGCATATGTAGCCAGGAGTCTATTTTCCTTGAAATGCAGGTGGATTTTGCCACACTTCACAGTACTTGGAGATTCCCTTGTTGTATCAGCCTCACCTCTAGACCCAGCCACCCTAAGAAAGCACTGGGAATCCAGGCATCTAATATCAGGGACCCGAAGCCCAGCACCTCATCCAGTATCCCTCTCTCCCCATCAGCTCACTTCATCCCCCTGCCCAAATGGTGGTTGAGAGAAGCATGTGATTTAACATGCAAGGGAAGTGGGTGTTGAATGAACAAGAAAGAATAAAGGATCAAGCTGCCCGTGGCTATCCTAATGGGAATTCAGGCAAGATGAGACCCTGCTTGTCTCAGGTAGCTGGGTGGAGGGCACAGTCCCATCTGCTGGCAACCACAGGCTTTCCTGACACCTGTGCTTCGTGGGGAGTGGACAGTGAGTGCTCCTTCACAACTCCTGCCTTTCATTCATTCATCAGACATTCATGGAGAGCCTCGGGTCAGCAGTATCCCAGGGATTTGTTGTTCAGACAGTGTGAGAGCACAGTGGATGCCAACAGCAATAATAAAAGCTGCACCTCTGAGTGTTTATTCTAAGTGCAGAATGTTCCAGGCCCAGTACCTACCATGCAGGTGCCACCTCATTTAAGCCCCCACCGCCCGCTGCTGCCTGCTGCCCATCACCCTCCCCTCCCCTATCCAGCTGCAGACACGCTGTCCCTCTGTCTGTCCTTGGTCACTCCAAGACCCCTCCTCTCTCAGGGTCTAGTCTCCACATAATTGCAGAACTGGTTTGTTTTTGTCACTGAAGTCTCCATGCCCTGCCAGACACAGGGCACATCACCCTGCTCAGTGATGCCAACTCGTGCTTGCTCACGAATTTGTCTATTTGCTTGTTGCCTGTCTCCTCCCATTGGAA